CGGCACGAGAAGTGCAAAAACGCATAATCGCACCGGCCCGCCTGGTGCGTTCCAGCCTGGGTTCACCGTAAAGTCATATAAGGATAAAAATACAAAAAAAAAGGGGGCGACGAAGGTCTGGGAAGCCGAAGCTTCCGATAACAGAGTTAAGTAGTAAGAAGTGACTCTGGATCGTTCTACATTTTATCCTCGAGCGATAAACCTGGACGGTAGAATCAGTGCCGTGGAATGGGGTGGGAATCGTCTTTGGTGTGTGTGTATGTGTGTATGTTGAGCATTACTACTTCATTTCGAAATTTACCGTTTCTAGAACAGGATGAGATAACTTGTCACTATGGTATAGTCTCCAATTTTAATCAGTAACAAATTTGAGAACAATTTTCAATGTTAGCGATCTCCGTAGAAGTAGTGATTTGCATATACGAAGTTGGTAACGTTGCCCAAGGCGGCGGTACGGTGAAATCCATCTGTATTCTATAGCAGGAAAAAGCATTTTGCATTAAGAGCTAATGGCACACAACTATATTCTCGTGAGTATATAACGGATAGTGAATTTTGCGCAAGATTTTTCATTTCGCTGGACTTAATGGACCGAAACATTTCTTACCTACTACAAAAATATTTCCTTAGACACCTTTCCCATCTTACTACCCTTTTCCTCCTTTTCTCTGTTTTCTTCTTTTCTTGATATTTTCTCTTCAATCTTTAATGCGTTCACTGATATACTTTCACTGATATAACGTTCACTGATATAACAGATAAAGTAAAGGGATTTTTTTTGCTTTTTAAAAGCAATAAAGATATAAATTTCAGACCAAAGCACCGTTGCATTACTATATTTCACGCGAATGGCTGCATCGTTTGTCGACATTTGCTCATCCTGGCCCAATAACAAATCATGATTTCCTGTGCCAGCACTCACAGATTCTTCCACGACGAGCAGCACGTCTCACCAATTACTACGCAACAATCAGTAGTTCACTGTGGGATTTGTTATATGAAAAGTAAGCTTTGTGATTTGGTTCACCCCTGTAATTTACAGTGATGGCCCACGTTCACGAGAATGTATTGTAAGAATTGGATGGGTTAAATTTTTCCTCTAAAGCGAGGAAAATTTTAGAACGTGACTGCACCACTGTTTACCGCGAACACACGATGATTCTTCATAAATTCTCCTCTGAAATCGAAAATTTCTTGATTTATTCAATATATTTTTTATGCGTCTTGTGCTGTGTAGCAGCAGTACAAAACGCATATTGTCACGGGGTTGTCTGTGTTTGTTTGTGTGTGTGTGTGTGTGTGTGTGTCCGCAGCAGCTTATCCGCAATTTTCAACTCGGGAACCACAGAAGCTAGGAAGCTGAAAATTTAGGGTAACGTTTCTCACCCAGGTGTGACCCCGCAAATTTAAGTTCAGCTTCCCCGTACCCGCGGGTTGCACGTACGGCCCCGTGAAAGTTTTCTACGGAACCACGGAGTCTAGGAGGTCGAAATTTTAGCGTAATGACCCCTACCCACGCTCAGCTTTGCTCATTCAAGTTCAGCTTTCCCGCGCTCTTGGGTACCGCCTACGGGCTAATGAAAATTTTGGCGGGTAAACTATTAACTTGGGAATCCCGGAAAGATATTCACCTTTCAAGGTTTCGAACTCAGCTTTCTTGCGCTGGTGCGTGAAATTTTTAACTGTTTTCCAATGTTTCAACTATTTTTGCATAGACAAAAGCTGAAAACAGTGAAAATCATTAATAGGCAATTGTTCGATGGGCTAAATTGCACAAAACGCATGTCTGGTGCGCGTTGCTATTTATTTGTATTTGTCTCTTTTTTTAAATATCTTTTTTAAATCTTCCCTGTAATTTTTTTTTAAATATTACATTTTTTTTTTCAGATTTGGCGGAGGTCCAGTGAGCTCCGAGCTGCATTACTGTTTACAGTGTCAAAATGAGTATCAGATGATGAAGCGCCGACGTGAGTATGAGCTTAAAACGTACATTACACTGGAAACTTTTCTGGAACAGCTAAAAGAGGAACATCCGGAACTTACTTACAGCTATTACATGCCACCCAATATTATTGCAAAGACATGGATCGAAAAATGGAAAGCATTCGTTGATGGAAATGAATTGGGTAAGTTGCTAACTTGGGATCCAGGGAAGCTGGAGGAACTGAATTTTCGAGGGGATATTCCCAGCCCATGCGCAATTTAAAGTTATCAAATTCAGCCCCCAGAAAAGGTAAACACTTTACCTCTCTCCCTACCCGTGTCCTTTTGCTGGTCAGATATCATTGGCGGATCTAGGGTGGGAGAGAGAGAGGGGGGGGGGGCTGGCAGAACGATGAGTCTTTTGGTACAATTAGCAATGCTAAAAGCAAAGAAAAGTCCGTTTAACATTCCTCACGCTTTCCCCGCTCGCTCAGACGGACCCACTTTCTTTTCCCTCCCCTTCTTCCGGCCGTTGACGCTAGGAGCGATGAATAGGGGAGAGGGGAGTAGGAGAGGGGGAAGGATTGGGGTTTTTGACACAGTGACGAACGTGGGGGAGGGGGAGAAAAACCGCCCCCCCCTCCTCCCCGCGCCCAGGAAACCGCCCTGAATCCGCCTATGACAGATGCCGTACGTGGCGATGTAAATTTTTGTGTTATTTTCGTGCTTTTATAGCCTTCACCAGTTTTTTGCTCTACATGAATTTAGCACAGCATCTAGCAGTGGTGTCTTCCGCTTCTTTCGTTTTTCCAAAAAAAAAATTGGGAATTTACGATTTTGAATCGCCTGACCGAAGATTGGAACTGTACTGATTTTTCAGAACCACCTGGGCCTATTGATAACAAAATTTTACTGATCTCTAACAACAAAAATGATTCAAAACCTCAACTACGAGCTTCGTCGCAGTACAGACAGATACAGCGTGAAGTGTGGTTATTTTTCCATTCACAATATGGTGGTGGACCTGAGGTAAGCAAATTTTTTCCAGCAAAATTTGCAAAATAAAAAAAAAGACCATCTGGGATGTATTAAATTGCGATGCGTCATATATATTGATTACTCTTAATGGCAGCTTTTTTCACCCTCCTGCTTTTTCTAAGCCGATTTTAGCATCCATGTTGATCTAGGGTGCCAAAGTAAGGAAGATGTATAAA